CCCATTCGGACCAGGCCCGAACCCTTCAGGCGCGGCCCTCACCCCGCGACGCGGAGAGAATCATGTCCGGGAACTGCGGGGTGGTGGCGATTTGCGTCACCCACCCATTGTGGCCCTTCAGGGTACCGCGGAGGGTCATCTGCTCCGTCATGGCGGCGGCGGGACGGGAGGATGGCGGCGGATTCAATGGAGGGCCCGGCCCGATCCACTCTTACCGCCTGCGATGGCCGCCAGCGCGGAGAGAGAAAGAGGGCGGAGACTTCCGGCGGAAGCGGAAGTAGCCGCTGGATTGTACGGCTAGAGGGGCAAGATGGCGGCGCCCATAGCGGGGCACGCTGAATGAGGGAATGGGCTTTGGAGGCGGGCAGGGAAGGCTTTTCTCTGACTCTGCAGGGATACGAGATGCGGGCAGAGCAATTCTTTAACATTTGCTATTGCTTAACCTTTCATATTTAGCATTTTTATTATCCCTGTTGTGCCAGGACAGGGAAGAGCGGGGTGTGCAGCCTGTGCTCATCACCTGCAGCTGTCCTGCATCCCGCAGCCAGCCCAGTTTTGTGATGCCTGAGCAGGATCTGACACAAGAAGGCAAACAGAGAAGCACTGGGTCCTCCTCCCTTCCTCTTTCCCTTCCCCTTCCCTTCCTCTTCCCTTTCCCATCCCTCCCACGCTGCTGTCTGGGGGCTGTGACCCCTCCCCATTGCTCAGCACCCATTCCAATGAGCAGTGGCTGATGGTGACGTTTACAAACTTTTGGCATCCCTCTGGTTTCCACCCCCATTTTGTTTCACCAGCCTTTTTCTATCTGTTCTTATCAGCAGATCATTCTTCTTATTAGATCTGTCTTTTTCCAGCGACAGTTTTGCGTTTTCAGCTTGGTTTTATCACCTGACATAAAGCCTTTTGTCCCCATTTGATGATATTCACGCACATAAATCCCTAAAGCAGGAAATAATGCAGTCTTGGCCCTTCCTAAACCCATTTAGGTTTAGATTTTTTGCAGCAGCCAAGACATGCTTCCAGAGCCAGGAATAACACATCTTGAAGTGCCAACGTGCCTTAAAATCCAGAAAATTGCCCCAACATAGGCATGACTCATCAAGCACCGTAGTGGGAATGATTTGCTTGGGTGACCCCGTAGGTAAGGAGCCATTTGTTGGACACCAACCACGTCGTTTTTCACAGCCCTGTGAGCGCAGCATCTTGAATTTCATTCCAGACGTTCCGAATTTGGAGACCTCAAATGGCAAAGGTGAAATGGGCGTCAGCTCTCCGGAATGAAGGAATCTCTCCCAGGGTTTTCTGCTGGATCACAGCAGGAGGATTTGCTTTCCTGAAGCATTGAGTGACGTGAAGAACCCAAATCGGAGCCAGCGGCCACATTCTTTCAAGGGAAAACCCTTTGGGTGCCCCTACGGTTCCCTTTCTATCACCATAACAAACCCCTTCTCCATCCACTCATCCCCTTTTGGGTTCGGAGGTTGACAGATCCCTTCTGAAATTCTCATATTGCACACATGCCCTTCTTTCTTTACCTCTGAGGCAGCAAAGATCCCACAGTGACTTAATTCGGAGTGAGATCAACAATCTTAGACATCCTATATTAACTTCACATTGTTTCATGTTGATCAGCAGCAAAAAAATAAAATAAAGGAATAGGAGTTTATCTGTGGGAATGCTCTGCATTTTCACGCTTGGCTGATTGAAGGAAGCTGGGAGGAAATGTTGTGAAATAATCCCAAATGATGAGAAATTGTGGGTAGGGGAGGGGGTGCCCTCTGTCCTGATGAGCAGCAGGGACAAAGTAGAAAGGAATAGGCATGAGCTCATTTCATATCTCTTTATTTTAGGGCATTGCTAACCAATGCTGTCACATTATTTGGGGCCAGGAGTGGCTGCTGCCCCATTGGTGCCCAGAAACCAATGCTGCCCCATTTGGGATTGGGGTCTGCTCTCAGACCGCGTCCTCCAACCAACCCATGGCTGATAGCAGAGGGGCGACCAGCTCAACCCTCCATTCCTACCCTTCTCTGCAGAAACCTGTTCCTGTCTATATAGGGATCCCCATCCCTCCTTCCATCCTCGGCATTTAGGTAGGCTATAATTAGGCTCTGGGAACGTCCCCCTGCTGTCAGCACAGCTGTCGTGCCTGCAATGATCCTTCCAGCTCTCTGCGGTCACGCAAAGCCTCCAGCAATCCTAAATACCCATTTCCTGCCCTCCTGGGACAAACTGGGAGCTGCCAAAAAATCTCCAGCCCCCCACGGACGTGACCATCACAGCACCAAGGAGCAAAGCAAGCGCAACGTGATTACGGTGCAGGTCGGGGTAAGCCTTTCTCTTTCTTCCCACAGCCCGGGATTTGGGGGATCCTATTGGCTCTATGGGATCTGGGAGATATGGGAGAAATGTGATCTGTTTGTGGTAGCATGGAGCAAAACAACCTTTTAGAATCCTGTACCTGAATCTGACAGTACTGGAAAGCAGGGGAAGGATTAAGAGAGCAATGGGTCCTTCTGCATTATTTTTCTCATAGGGAAATACAACACAGAAATCTCTGGGGCTGCTTCCTTTGCTTTCTTGGCACAAATTTAGCTCCTCGTCACAGCGCTTATCTGACTGAGACCCCAGTAGGATTTACAGGGGTAGAACACAGCAAACAAAGCCTGATTGATGTTTCCTATGGGATCTGTTGCCTTTCCTGTGTGATTTGTTGCCTTTTCCCATTGAGATTCCTGCTTTTCCTCTGGGGCTTTTTGCTTTTTCACAGCTTTTTCACCTCCACCACTGTAGAGAATAGGAATTTTTAGGGCTTTTAGGACACTGATGCCATTGTGAACATATGGATGAACTTGTAACAACTTCCTGGTGTGGTTTGCATATGGGATGGAGTGGAATTGATGGTGCTGTGGACAACTAGCAGAGATGCCTGAGGTCTGAGCCCTTTTTGTGCCCCTTTTGGGGGTCAGCAGATTCCTTTTATTCAGACATAAATTATCTCATCCACAATTTCACCAATCCTCCCAATGCAGACCCAAAAAACATCTCCAAAATCAAAGTCCATTAACTGAAAAAAGCAGCATAAAACATCAGTGCTCCCAAATATTTATCCCTCATCCCATTTATTTCTATGGGCAAAGCTATTCTGGGCATCAGGAAGGTGGGAGATTCCAGGTCTGTTTGTCCCTAATTGGGTTCTTTTAATGACGTTTCCACTTCTCCCATCAGGTGGACATTTGGAAGTGGTTCTGACTGGGAAGAGGACGTGATGATGGCATCAGGTAGAGCTCACGAAGTGCTATTTATCAGCAAAGCAATGTTGCAGATCTGTTTTTTCCCATTTTTCCCATATTTTTTCTCATTCAGGGAAGAGGAACGCGGATCTTGGTGAGTGATTTTCTTCCTTTTTCCATCAAAAAGTCTCTTTCCATGCATAGAAATGGATATATGCACCCCCCACTGATACCCATTTCCTTTATTCTTCCCTTATATTTACACTTCCCCATATTTTAAACACATGAAAACAAAGCTCACATTAAATAAATTCATAAACAGTGCGATTTTTGGACTATTATTTTCAATAGAAAAGCATGAAATCAGTGCAGAAGTGCCTCTGGAGGGGACTTCTGCAGCACCCACAGAGAGGGGCGTAGGGCTGAGTGCTCTCTCTGTCTCTCTTTTAGAAGAATGGGACGCAAAAATCAGTGAGTGCCCTTTTTTCCTCTCCCTTTATGGTGAGTGCGGAGGGCCTGAATTAATGCGAGTTCCTCTGTTTTAAGGGAAGCTAACAGAAGATTTTGGTAAGTCACTTATTTTCCTCAATCTGAATGCACATTTCGACACCGTTACCATTGGTGATGACCAACGTGTGTATGCGTTTCTCTTTATTCCATTTAGAAGAGAGTGACACAGAGCTCGGTGAGTGCCTTGGGGTTCTCATCAAGGTGTAAAGATGTCCCTGTGTGCAGCCATGGGGACAGGGAGAAGCCCTTCAGCTCTTGGATTTATCCACATCTGATACCCAGATGGAGTCAGGATGCAGAATTGAAGGAGGAGGGCCAAAGCTTTGGGCATTTTGGGGTTCTTTTTGCTCCTCGGGATTAACCCATGTCCATTTCTCTGTTATTTCCAGAGGAATGTGACACAGAAGATGGTGAGTGTCCTCTTTGGCAGGGCTCAGGGTTGGCCAGAGAACAACTTCCAGCAAATCTCCCTTTTTTAATGAATATTCTGATGCATTTCTCTGTTTTAAGGGGAACTCACGGCTGAGATTGGTAAGTCATTTGTGGTTGTGTGGCTATAGACCCCTATTTGTGCCTTCCATCAAAGAGGGCTCTGTGCAGCCCAAGTTGGTTCCCATGGGGTTTATCCCTCACCTTTCACATGAATATTGGGGATAAAAACCAACGAAATGGCACAGAGGGGCTGCAGAAATGGTGGTCGGTGGGTGACGTTGTGCTCTGATCCAAGTGAAGCTCATGGGAATGGTTCTTTCTTTCTCTTTTTAAAGACAATCTGACTGCAGAGCTCGGTGAGTGCTTCCCTTTCCCCTCTGTTGGGTTTTTAGGGGAAAAAAATGCTTATTCTCCCCATAAACACACACAAATGTAACCCAACCTGGGCTGGAAGGAGGGTCCAACCATTCCTACCTGCAGATTGCAATTATTACAAATTGGAAGGTGGTTCCATCATGAGCACGATGGAATTCTGACAGCGTTTCTCTTTATTTTCTCTTTCAGAGGAACGTGATAGGAAAATCAGTAAGTGCCATTTTCCTTCCAGAATTAATTGGGGGTGATGGGTTTGTGCCTGGGGAGAAATAAGCTAATACGTTTTATTATGTCTTAGAATTGAAAATAATGCTCATCTATTTCTTTCTTTTAAGGAAAGCTCACATCAGACCTTGGTAAGGTTTATTTTCATTAAATTATCCTTAATTGTGCAAAAGTGTTGGCTATAAAGTAGAGAAATATGTATATAAAGTGTATGTATGCACACATTTATTCATTCCTATATATGTACTCATTCATTCATATATATATATATATTTGTATATATTTGCATATATTTGTATATGCTTGTATTTATGTGTATAAGTGTGAAGAGTTTGGGGTTTCCTCTGCTTGAAAATCGGGGTGAATGAAAGCAGATGTCCTTAAAAAGCCTTATTTTTAAAATACTAATAAGGGATACATTGGGATAAAGCTTAAAAATGGAGGGGGAAAAAGGATGAAATGGGTAAAATATTGAAAAGAACAAAAAGTTTAGAGAATGGAGAAAATAAATGATAACTTTGGTTGGATTTGGGCTGCTCTGCGTTTCTCCATTTATTTTCTCTCTTTGTTTTCAGGTGACGTTGACACAAAGCTCAGTGAGTGGAGCTGCTCTTCCTCTCCCATATTTAAGAATATTTGGGGTATTTTTAAGACTATTTAAGAATATTTGGATTTTTTTCTCTGAAAACTTAATTTCTGGTCTGTGAGAAACGCAGGGTTTATTTTTGAGGATAAAGTAAATGTCCCAAAAAAGTGGGGTTTTGGCTTTTACAGACTGGGAGGTGAAAAATAAAAGCAATGATCTGAGTGTGTTGGGGCCTACAGATGGAAGAAAAGGAGATAATTAATATTAATTTTCTTCTTTCTCTTTTCTTCCCAGAGGAACGCGATAGGAAAATCAGTGAGTGTCACTTTTTTGGGGCCAAAACCCTTTACTCTGGGGAAGGGATCACTGATACAAGTGGTTAATCCTGTTGATTTTTCCCTTTTTGCAGCCAAACTCTCAGCAGAAACACGTAAGTCCTTTTCTTCCCCAGTCTGAACCGTTCCTTTGTATTCTCAGACTTCCATTTTTTTTGCTGTTTTAATTAAAATAATGGGGTTTTTCTTTTTTTTTTTTTTTTTTTCCCTATTTGATAGGCAGACTGACTGCACTGCTGGGTGAGTGATGCCGTCAAATCCATGCATGATTTTGGGCTGAAAGCCCTTAAAAATGGGGACTCTCCACCCAGACAGCTTATTTCTGTGCTTTACTTCATTTGTAATAGAATAAAAATGGGGGGAAATGGGCAAAATGAGCATTTTGAGCAGATCTGTCGTCCTAGGGCAACAGGGCACCGCCGTGTAAAAAATACATATTTTAACCTTTTTTCCTTCTTTTTTTCCCATTTAGGGGACCGTGACTCAAAGCTCCGTGAGTGCCATTTTCCTCCTGATCAAAATCTGAGTGAAGATGTGGATTTTCCTCAGTCTGCCCCTAAAATCTCTCCTTTTCAGCACAGTTTTTCCCAAACTTTGCGTTTTTTCGCCCAACCCCTTGCATTGATCCTAAATGGGTGTAGGGCCTGGATTGCTGGCTTTCTTCCCTATTTCCCATCCTGTTTAATTACAGTATTATGCTTTTATGACATGATTTTATGGCATATTTTGTGCTATAATGCCCATACGCCTCGTTACCGTTACCTGCCCTGTGTGTGAATTAGAAGATATATTTAATATAAAACAGATATCTCTATTGACAGAGAATGACTTCTGAAATGACTTCTGAACGACTTCATTTCTGAAAGGAAACAAAGGGATCTGATTTAAAATAAACTTTAACTTTTCCCTTTTTTAGGCAAACTGACGACAGAACTCGGTAAGCCATTTTCTTCCCCATTCCCATAAAATAAATGAAATTATTTATGGATGGAAGGGGATTAACCAATTAATAGGGGTCAGAATAATCTGGAAACTGATCAAAATCTGCTTTTACTCATTTTTCTTCTTATTTTTTGTAGCTAAGTGCGATGCAACGATCAGTAAGTGCTGCTCCATGAGGGGGTACCTCCACCTTCGGGTGATTTTCTGCTGTTCCAGCACTGAAATGAAGCCAGAATTCCTTAAATCCAACAAAATTTGGGTCACTCGAAGGAATCTTTGCAGATATTGGGGAAATCAAAGCCAAATTTTGAAGGGGGGGAGGGAAAATCTCGGGGGTGTTTTGGAAATCCAATGGGATCTGATGGTATTTTCTGCTCTCAGGACTATTTACAGTGGAACTTGGTAAGTCAGTTTCCTTTTTGTGTGTGTTTTTTTTAATTATTACCTATTAGTAGTATTATATATCAATATTATTATTGCTGCTTATACATATTGTTGTACATTTATTTGTTTATGCCTTTTTCCATATCATATTTTATTATTTTTTTTATTTATTATCATACATCGATGTCTGCCTTATGCATATTATTATATTAATTATTATTATTGGATGGGATATATATAATGTATTATATATGTTATATAATAATATATTATATTCTACATTATATATTATATGTTTAGTATTATATGATTATAAAATATTGTATGATTATTATATATTATGTTTATTATGTACTATATGCTATATGTACTATATATATATCATAATAATATATATAGTATATATTAATCATGCAATATGTAATATCGTGTATATATAATGATGTAATATCTAATATATGTAATATATATGTGTATATATTATAATACATATACATTATATTATTATTATAACACATTTAATTATTTCTGCCTTTTTCCACGTGTTTCATTGACCTGATTAAAAACTAAATCCTAAAGGCAGAAGTAAAGAAGATGAAAACCCCCAAATTAACACCAAATAATTGGAGCTATGGGTCATATCTGTCAAAGCAAATTCACCTTCAGTCCACGTCATGAAATTAATGATAAAAAGGTTGAAATTTGGAATGCACAAACGATGACAAATAACCCCCAGTGGTTTTTCCCTTCTTGTAGGAGAGCGTCACACCAAAATAGGTACGTGAGGTGTTTGCTTCCATCATTTGAAAGGAGGAAATTGCATTATTAAACCCTCTGTCCAAGATGAAGCTGGGATCAAATTGTTGATAAATCACCATCACTTGTCTATGAATTAACAGAAAAAAAGGCTAAATTTGAAAATAACAATTTTTTCATCTCTCTTTTAAGGGGAACTCAGTGCAGAAGTTGGTAAGTCTCTTTCCCATCGATGTAAGCAAAAATGGCTCATCAGATATATAACAATCCCTTATTTCTGCTTATTTTTAGGGGACTACAATAGGAAACTTCGTAAGTGCCTTTAATTTTCCCCATTAAGAGTTAAATATAATGAATTTTTTTGATGCTTCAATGTGCTGCAGCCACCAAAAATGTGTTTTAATTCTAAAGGTGATGAGTATCAAACCTGAGCACCACCATTGCTGGGGGCTGAGATTTGTGGAATTTGGGTTTTTAGTGTGAAAACGTCTCTGGGTTTCTGTGCATGAGCTCAGGGAAACACAGCCAGGACTTCCCAGTAGGAATGAGACCCCAAAATGTTTCTACCTGAGGCCTTTTCCCATTGGGAATTTATTCTTTAAATCTCTATTTCCACACATTTGAGAGTCACTCATTAAATATCACAATTTTGGCGATGATGAGAAGATACATATTAATATATATATTATATATGTACATGTTTTCATATATATAATATTAATATATATTAATACTAATTAATCTGGAGGTGTTTGTGTTGGTCAATGATGGCATCAAGAAAAGATCTGAATCATTGAATCCCCGTTTTCTCTTTATTTTAAGGGAAACATGCAGCAGAACTCGGTAAGGAAATTCTTTCCTTGGGTTTGTTCTCTTGTTTTTCTCTTTTGGGGGATTTTTTCTGTCTCCTTTCCTCCTCCTTTCCTCCTCCATTCCTTCCCTTCCAGCCCAGCAGAGCTGGGTTGATTTGGGGTTGTTTACTTTCACATTTTTGAAGTTTTGAATGGCGTGGGGGCAATTTCTATTTGACTCACGTTTCAAATCAAAGGCTCAAATGAATAAATAGACCCAAAAAGGCAGATTTCGAGCCAAAAAAAATCACCTCAAAACGAACCCGAATGTCTGCAGTGTGGGCTGAGCACAGCTAGGCTCTAATTTCTCTCTTTATTTCTCTCTCATTTACAGAGGAACGCGATGTGAAAATCAGTAAGTGTCACCCCAAAGCCACGGGGCTGTGCTGGGCTTCATCCCCACAACGTGAATTTTATAAATTAAATATACTTATATTTATAATTTTTATATATTTTATATGTTTAGTATTATGAGTATTTTAAAAAAGAATTAAATAAGTCAAGAATCTTAGGATCAATAGTAACACAGTGATGCAGCGTGGATACGAAAGCAGTAATTCCTATTTCTTTGTCCCTTTTTTTCCTTCTAGGGGAACACGAAGCAGAGATAAGTGAGTGTTATTTTCTGTATTTTAGGATGGAAAAGTTCTTTCTCTGTAATATAAAAAATAAACTCAATTATTTGAGGGTTTTTTGGCTTAACCCAAATGCGGAGTACTTGAAATCCTACATATGAAATAGAGAATTTCCCATAGAAAAAAAAACAGCAATTTGTGGCTGGAAGGAAACAGTTCCACTTCCTTGCTGAAAAGTGAATGAAAAAGGAAAAAAATAATAAAAATTGAGTTTTTTCCCTCATGAATCTGTCATGAAATGGGTTGGGTTCCAGGTGGGAACCTGAAGGGTGATGTCAACACTTTGTTTTGGGTTCAGCCCGACAGAATCTGTGTCTCAGTCCTTTATTTCTGTATCACCGGTGTTAAAAAGCACTGTTTTGAACTAATTTTTTTTAATCACTTTTCTTTTTGTTTTCTTTTATTTTTCTTTCCTGTTTTTTTTTTTTCCTTTTTCTCCCTGTTTTGCTTTAAGGGCGCCTCACTGAGCTGCTTGGTAAGTGCATTTCCTTCCTTCCATCTGTAAATCCAGCAAGAAAACAAAACATGTTTCTATGGGAAGGAAGGGATAAAACATAATATTAATGAAATCAGTGCTTTGGAAAATGTGTAATTATTATTTTTCCTGGAAATGAATGCTTCCTTTTCCCTTCTGTTTGCAGAGGACCGTGATTCCAATGCCCGTAAGTCCCTTTGTTTGTCCCACAGCTGTGATTCCTCCAATGGGAAATGCAAAATTTCAGAGCCTGCCCCAAAAATGTCTTTTTTTGAGACTACAAGAGATGAGAAAAGAAGGAGAAATATCCTTATTTATTTATCTCCTTATTTATGTGCAGAACTGGGTGACTCTTTTCTGCCGAACGCGTTAGGAAGAAATACGCAAAATGGGAGGAAATGAATTTTTTTCATTTTCATTGTTTTTCTGTTTAATTTTTAGGAGAACAGGACATCCTCATTAGTAAGTGGCACTTTGGTTTGCTAAGAAATGCAGCTCCTGGGGATGTTGGGGTGTTAGCACCGCGATTGCTGCCGTTGCTGGGGCTTTGTGTTGTGGCGAAAATGGAATTACTTCAACAGAAAGAGCAGCAGAATGGAATTATTTAGAGAAAAATGGGAATAAATGGAATTGTTTGGAAAAAGAAGGTGGAATAGAATGGAAATATTGGGGAAAAAAAGTGAAATAGAATGGAATTATTTAAAAAAAATGGAATGGAATCTGGGGAGGGGGGAGGGAAAATGGAATGGAATTATTTGGGGGCAAAAGGGAAAATGGGATGGAATTGTTTGGGGAGGAAAAGGAAAAATTTAATGATTTGGGGGGGAAATGGGGAAATAGAATGGAAGTATTTTAAAAATACAGAATTGTGAAGGTTTCAGCCCATCTCAGAGGGTTTGGTGTCCTTGAGTTCCCCCATCGTGACCCATTGCGCATCCTTGGGATGGCACCAAATTTACTGCTGACACCAAATTCTGTTTTCTCCTTTTTAAGGGAAACTGTCAGAAGAGCTCGGTGAGTTATTTCCATTTCTTCCACAAAACTGATTCCAGAAATTCTTTTTGTGTGTTTTCCTGCTTTGTCTCGTGGTGTTTTAAGAGATAACTGCAGAAGGAATGGGACAAAGGGTGCAGAGGATCTTTGGGATAAATAACAGGGAAAACAGGGATGGGATAGCGATGAGTTGGTGCAATCATCTATGGCACAAAAGGTGACTGTGTGTTTCACATTTTGCTTTTTCTCTTCTCTTTAGAGGAATTAAGGGGTCGGGAAGTTGGTAAGTGAGATTCCTCCCTCTCTTCTCCCCCCAAAATATAAGGGGTGATTTGGATTCTGATCTTTTTTTCTCCCTTTATGTTCCTAGAGGAGAGTGATCCAAAGAGGGGTGAGCACCATTGCCTTTCTATTGCTGGAAAACCTTTCGACTGAAGGAATCCCCCATAAGCATGCTGATGAGATGGGAATTCTGCACCAGCCCTTGTTCTGATACACAATTATTATCATTTCTTCATCTTCTATATGCAGAAATGGACAAACTTTTCCTTTTTTTTTTCTCTCCTTCCCTTTTTTTAGAAGAACATGATGCCAAAATTGGTATGTGTCCACCTCCTCCTGTATTTGTGGTGTCTTCAAGAAGTCTGGTGGTGTCATTTGGGATTGTTTGGATGGAGGATTTGGTTTGAGATAGAATTTGGGGAAGGACTGAGGTGCCCAAACGCAGCATCAGGTCCCATCTCGTGTTCTCCCATGGGCTTGGATCCTTGGATACCTAAGAATACCTGAAATCCATAATATTCCATTAGAAGTAACACACCCATCAATGATACATCCACAGAATACAAGAGAATAGTCTACATTTACTTTAGATCCCATTTTCAGGTTAAACATGGAAAAAACACCCAATGATTGAATGTCACAATTCAGGGATCCCGTGTGTGCAATCATGATTTTTACTTTAATTATAAGAAAAAATGAAATTCGCTGTTTTTATTCTCTTTCAAGTTGAACTCTCCGCAGAAGTTGGTGAGTATTTTTCAAGCAAAACCAACGCATGCAGTTTGCAGCCTGTTTTGGATGTATGTTATGTGTGGATATAATAACCTATATGTTACAACAACTCTGGTTTCCTTTTCTCCTTCTTTTCTTCAGAAAAACAAGAGAGAAGAATTGGTGAGTATCAAACTTCTCACCCAGAAGTGGGCTTTGGTGTGTTGGGAAGATCCGTACCGCCACGGTGGTGCCAAACTTAATGGAAATCCTTTATTTTTTCCTTATGTTTTCAGATGAACTCACTGCAGAGCTCGGTAAGTCATGATTATAACTCATAACAAGTAATAATGCTATTTTTATATATATTTTTATACATAATATACATATTGTATGTTGTTATTATAACTCATAGTGAGTTACCATAAAGCAAACAATCACAAAGCACAGAAACATGGGTTTGCTTTGAGAGCCAAATCTTAGGAAGTCATAACATAAGAGAAGAGGATAATAACCATTTCTGTTGTTCCTCCTTTCAGAGCACTACAAAGCAAAAGCAAGTGAGTTTCTCCTTCCTCATCTTCGGCACGTGAGAGATTTTGGGGGCTTTTGGGACAGCTGTGGAGATTTACGCATAGAACAACACAAGATGAGAAGGCACAGTTTGTTAACCTGAATTCAAACTGGTTTTAAATTGGAGAAATTTCAGAGTAAGTCATCTCCCCGGTACCCAGTTATACAATGGGATTAATTACAACTTTCCCAGGAAAGGAACATTGAATTTTTTCATGCCTCCATCAAGCATGAAGTCCATCAGGCTTAACCTTACAGCTTAAAGAACTGTTCGTTTTTTCATTTAACCCCCATGTAAGTTAAAAGATGGACTTCAGCATCACAGAAATAGCCCACAAATGGTCAAAAAATGGGCCATGAATTTCCAGAGCACCCACACACCTTCCCCAGTGAATCAGAAAAAAAAATATTAAAACTAATTAATTTCTTTTTTCTTTTTAGGAAGATGTTTTGAGAAACACAGTAAGTGCCCTTTTCTCCCTTCTTGAAGCATCACTTTTCATTTTAAGTTTGCATCGCAGTCAATAATCCATCTTCTTATTATGCATTTTTAGGAAGAAGTGAAGAAAAGTTGGGTAAGTCCTTTGGTTAATTGGGTTTCTGCTTGCAGACCCCATCCAGGAGCTCGTGTCCTTTAAATGTCTGCACTGTAGAAATACCCAGATTAGACATGTGGGTGGGATATATGGGACCTTTGTGGAGGTATTGGAGACCCCATTTATGTGTAGTAGAACATCGCGCTATTGAGCCTTGAGCTCCACAAAGACAAGCCACCCTATTAGAACTCAAGCAAAGTTGAGTTGAACAGATTTAATTCTTTCTTTTCCATAGTAAACGTGACTCTGGACCCAGAGACGGCCCACCCTCGCCTCATCCTCTCCGAGGACCAGAAGAGCGTCCGATGGGAATACAGCCTGCAGGAATCCCCCGACGGCCCCGAGCGCTTCGACGCCGATCCCTGCGTGCTGGGTTGTGAAACCTTCACCTCTGGGAGGCACTGCTGGGTGGTGGATCTCACAGAAGGGCAGTACTGCGCCGTTGGGGTCAGCAGGGAATCCATTCCGAGGAAAGGAGCCATCAGCTTTAACCCTGATGAAGGGATCTGGGCTGTGCAGCAATGGGGGTTCAAGAACAGAGCCCTCACCTCCCCTCCGACCCCACTGAACCTCCCAAGGGTTCCCAAAAAGATCCGCATCTCTCTGGACTACGAATGGGGTGAGGTGGCGTTTTTTGATGCGGAGAACCAAATCCCCATCTTCACTTTTCCTCTGACCTCCTTCGGTGGGGAGCGGCTCCGGCCGTGGTTCTGGGTGGAGCTGGGCTCCCTCTCACTGCCCCGATAACCCCAGAATCCCAAAGAGGTGCCTTACAGCAGCTCTTTGAGACCAGGGTGGAAAAACTCTCAGGAAAAAGCAGCATCAAAACCTCATTCTCCCCCTTCCCAATCAACCATCGTCATGCAAAGGAAAGGAAATTCATCCTCAACATCATCAACATCCTCTGTGCGTCATGTCTGGTGGTCCCCATTGATGTATGGTGTGGCTCCTGTTGGTGTCTGGTACCCCCTATTGACATGAGGTGGCCCCGATTGACATAAGGTGGCCTCCATTGACATGAGTTGGCCCCCATTGACGTATGGTGCCCCCCCATTGATGTGAGGTGGCTCCCATTGACATATGGGGTGGCTCCTGTTGATGTCTGGTGCCCCCTATTGACATGAGGTGGCCCTGATTGACATGAGGTGGCTCCCATTGATGTATGGTGTGGCTCCTGTTGGTGTCTGGTGCTCCCCCATGGAGGTGAGGTGGCCCCCATTGACATGAAGTGACCCCCATTAACATATGGTGGCCCCCATTGACGTGAGGTGGTTCCCACTGATGTATGGGGTGGCTCCTGTTGGTGTCTGGTGGCCCCCCATTGACATGAGGTGGCCCCCATTGACGTATGGTGACCCCCACTGACGTATGGAGACTCTATGACCAGACCCTACCCTGGATCCAATGCCTCCTGATTGCAGTTCTAACCTCTAGGGATGTTAAATGACCCCACAGAGAGGATGGGGTCCTCTTTGGTTTGATGGAGAGAGGTGGGCACCAGGGTAAGTCGCTGCCTACATCACCACTGGTGTTTTGTCTCAGCAGCTGGTGTAAATTTCTGCCACGTGGGGTATTTCTGTAGTAAGCAAAGAAGCTCTGCTGGTGGGCAGCTTGTCTCCTCCCAGTGCAAAAAGCAACATGCAACGCATGCACCCTGCTATCCACATGGCCATCTCTCTCCATCAGCTGTTGAAGGAGAAATCTGTGCTCAGAAGAGATGAAACTGGGTTGAGTTTTGGCTTGGGAAGATGATCTGATTCCAACCAGAGTCCAGGAGACTTTGGGGAATGCAAGAGTCCTATGGGAGAATGGATAACCCTTCATCCAAAAGGAAGCTGGCACGAAGCTCTGGGGTGAAAATCCATAACACCACGTGGTTTTAAGGTTTGGGGTGACTTACATTCTGCAGCTCTGCTTCTAGCAAGGCACTGGGAGCCCTAAACCCATGGAGAAGTCAAGCCTGTGCTTGAGATCGTTGTTGGCCCAGCTGCAATGGGAGGTGGGCAATGATGGACATCACTGAAGCCATCCCAAGCTTTGGGGAACTTTGGTTTTCACCTTTCGCTGCACTTTAATAGGATTTCTTGTCAATGTCTGCGTGTTCTTGGCCACCTGTTTAAAAAAATAATAATAATAATTAAATCTTGTCTTTTGTCTCACTATGGGATGGGCAGCTGGTGGTTCCCAGCTCACAATAAACCGCTTGAGACTCTCCAGAGAATTTGTTTCTTTTTCTAGCTGGTTCCATGTGGGGCTCTCCAGCCCCTCTGCAGCTCATAGATTTCTCTTCACAGCATCTGCTCCACCTATTGCTGAAAAAGGGGAAATTTGAGATGGATCCCATTTTGTGAACATCTCCCACCTGTGGGTAATGCTCAGAGCTCTCAGCCCTGTGGGTTTAATTTCTCTTTCTGCAGCTCATTGGGTCGGGAACCTTCATTATTGCAATAATTAGTGATGGGATAGGGGAGGCAGGAGAGGATCCAAGCAGGGAAAAGGGGAGGGGAAGGACATACCATATGTGTCTGATAGCCTTCAGATTGGAACAGCTAAAGGAGCAGCTCAGAATACCATCCCTCCCTATGTCAAAGCAGAAATGAGGGCAAAAGTAATGGTTACTTAAAAAAATATATATTTTAATTGACTATCAACATGGCAAATGGCACAGAGGTTGGGCAACGCTGTGTGGTTGGTTTTGATGCAACTCAAAATTGCAATTAGGAGTTCCTGTGCTAAGTGATAAGGAAAAAAAGATGAAAAATGAGATTAGAAGCCGCCCAGCTGTTGAATTAAAGCAGTTTGGTGAATGTTGTGCTATGGTGACCAAAGTAAGCGAGCACTGTGCTGCAAATGCCCCCATCTCTCCTGGAAACTGAGGATATTTTCCCCTATGGCCAACAATGACAGAGCATTTTAAGCCCAAAGCTTCATCCAGCCAAATTCCACGATGGAGACACAGATCTGCAGGGAGATTCCAGCCAGCACATTCTGTGTTTCCTTAAATAGGGCTGATATTTCCCTCTGTCCCACATGTGATCCGTCTGAGCTCACACAGCCCCTAAAAATCTGCAAGGATCTTGTTCTGCTGCCTGACGGTGAGTGTCTTTTTGGGGCTATTTGGCACCATTTGGGCAACAGGAGATGTCAATGTCACCCTGAGTTCTTCCAGAGTTCTATGAAAAGCTTTACAATTGGGTTTTTTTGCACTTTTTCCATCATCCACCTGTAGGGAGCAAGCTGTTATCAAGGGGGGGGGGGTGCTTTCAGGAAGGTTTGGGTTCTGTTTTGGGGGATATTTGGCATATAAAGGTGGTTTCCACCTTCAGGATGAGCCTTGGAGTGTTTTGTTGGCTGTCCCGTTGCCTTTCTTCCTACAAAGCAGGCTGCTTCCCAGACCCTTGGGAAGGCTGCACCAAAGTCTCTTCTAGCAGATTGCAGAGAGAAGGCACAAAGAACGAGGTTAGAAATCAAGTTTTTGGGGTTGAAATCTGGGTAGGAAGGTCAGAATTTGATATTTTGGGGTTGAATTCTGGGTAGGATGATTGCATCCTTCTCCTTTCTCCATACCAAGACTGGAGACACCAATCTGAGATGTCAAACTGCACGATGGAGCCTTAAGTAAGATGAACTTCAGGTCAGATGCCCAAGAGAGGTGTTAAATCTTGGTTAAAGCCCACACCAGTAGCAGTAGAAAGAAGTGAGTGATTCATCCTCCCCAAAACTCAATTTTTAGAAGAAATTAGGGAAGGAATCCTGCTTCCATGCTGAACACTTCTGTATTTTCACCCCAGGGCAGGGAAGGGGGATTGCAAGAGATTGGAGACCACACCACCATGGCCTCTGCTGCTTCTAGAGCAAAAGAAAAGGGAGACGAGGGCTCCCACCACCCCATCCCAGAGCATCGGATGGACAATGGATGTGGAGGTGGCACATGGCCAGAGCGAGGACGGCTCGGAGATTCCGAGGTCATCAGCCACCGAAACCATCTCAGGAAAGGGAATTTCCAGACTAAACTCCATTTGGAGCACCTGGCAGAGAAGCTGAAGCTTTTGGGGATGGATGGAGACAGAGGGGAGAAGGAGAAACTCTGCTCGTGGCACAAGAGGACGTTCCTCTCCAATGGACCATGGGATGATGGAGGTCCTACTGGAGCCCCCATAAAGGAATCGGTGCAGGAGGACGGGGTCAGCCCTGTGTTATCCCCTAAAGTCCTGTTTTATCCTTCATGTCCACGCTGCAAATTTCTTCTCTGCAAAATCCAACGCATTGCATCTCTTCCCTTCTTTCTCCCACCACAATATCCTCCCCAAATTCCTCTTTCTTCCTCCAGGAGCAGATTCGCAGCGATCTGGAGAACCTCAAGAAACAAAAGAAGGAGCTCTTAGAACTCAAAATGAGCGGAGAGAGGCGATGCCAAGACTTTCTGGTAAGAAGCTGTTGCCTTCAAGCTGGAGAAACAGACATATTTTGGGGATCTATGTTGTTGCTTTTCCACATCCTATAGACACGGACAGAGGCTGAAAGGCAGAAAATTGTGTCAGAATTCCGTCAGCTCCGCCGTTTTCTGAAGGAGAAGGAGGTGATGCTTCTGGCACGGCTGGGAGAGCTGGACAGGGCTGTGCTGAGGAAGCAGGAGGAAGAGGAGGCCAAGGTGGAGGGGGACATTTCTCTCCTAAGCATCCTCATCTGTGAGATGGAGGAGAAACTCAAGCGACCCACACGTGGATTCCTACAGGTTGGATTCCTACGGGTTGGATTCCTAAGGGTTGGATACTCCATTGGACCCTCTCCCTTCTTGTCCAACCTTCTCCAAAGCTGGGGGAGATTGAACCATTTTTTTCCATCTCTTTCAATTCCAGGATGCCAGAAGCACGCTGGACAGGTATGTGCTCCTTCAACCTCATTCAATGGGGTGGGAAGGGTTCCCCATCACCACTCCCATGGACTCTAGCACAGAAGTGAGAAATGTGTGTGATTCAGGCAAGGTTGGAAGTCCCATGGGGATCAAAAAGTGTCCCTGGATCCCAATGTAGGAATGGCCCAAGAAAAAGACCTCATGGCCATTGGGATCACCCAAGGGACCGCATTATGTATGGAGCTGGTTGGCATCCCCAAAGCTGTGACAAATGGACATCTTGGGGTCAACCATTTCATCTGCCATCCCCACATCACCAGAGGTCCCCGCATCTCAACCTGACCACCACTCCCAGCACTGATGAGATTTGTGTCCAGGTGGGAGATGGGCAGAACTCAAAGGACGATGGAGAACTTTGCAGACGTGGAACGGAGGCTCAGTGTCATCTCCCAACAAAATAAAATCCTCAAGGAGACACTGGGGAGATTTCAAGGTATTGTGAACTACAATATTCCTACCACGTAGAAGTTGCTCTGTACTAAAGTTTGGGTTTTGTTGTTCTTCTTTTTAATAGGAGTTGTATACACTGTTGGAAACAACTTGCATTAACTCACACTATCAACCATTTTTTGGCCTAAGAGCATCTGTCTTTTAGGACAAAATCCCACAGATTCCATATAAAATCCTGCACAGATATCCATAAAAAACACGGTGGGAACTGAAGCAAGCAGATGTGGGACATGACATCCAATCTTCTGTTCATCCCCAGATCTTTTACCATCTGAGCTGGAGAAGGAGGAAGGAGCATCTGTAGGAGAAGAGGGAAAAGGTGAGTCCTGAAAGAAAGCATTTTCCTTTTTCTCCATTGGTCATTTTTTAGCCAAAACACTGCTTCAGAGCATCTGGAAAATGATGGTTTTGAGCTCACTTTGAGTTTCCTAAAGATATAAAGGAGCTTTCCCATATTTCAGCAAAGGTTTTCCAAACTGGAAGATCGCTGATTCCAAAACAGATTTGGGATGCTGCTCCAGTTTTAGGGTGATGCTCACCGATTTCTTCTCCATCCCCAACAGCATTTGTGACCCTGGACCCCAACACTGCCACTGCAGGGCTCGTCCTGTCCCGGGACCGACGTGGGGTGAGATGGATGGATATGGGGCACAACGTGTCCCCTTGTCCCCAACGCTTCGATGTCTCCTGCTGTGTGCTGGGCTGTCGGGGCTTCACCTCAGGGAGGCACTTTTGGGATGTTGAGGTGATGGGTGGTGGCATGTGGGCACTGGGGGTGGCACGCAGCTCTGTGCCCAGGAAGGGTTGGCTCACTTTCCACCCCGATTATGGGATTTGGGCCGTGGGATGCTGTAGGAACCGGTTCCGAGCTTTCACATCTCCCCCAACCACCCTCCCCATGAGTGGGAATCCCAACAGGATTCGAGTGGTGTTGGATTATGGAGGGGGACGGGTGGCTTTCTACCTCACTGCCCAAAAAAATCCCATATTTGCTTTCCAAAATGCTTCTTTCTGTGGGGAGAGCATCTTCCCCTTCTTCTGGGTGGGCAGAGAATCCCACCTCCACCTCTGCCCCTGAGAGAAGGAAAAGAGAGGTCTGAAATTTTGGGGTGAGCATCTCCATCAGCTCATATGCAATACAATGGGATCTTCCAGTCTTTGGGTTTTGTGCTCACTGTGCCATTATTTTTATGGCATCCTAGGATGGTGCTGTATTATTTTTATGACATTGTAAGAGGATGGAACAGAAAATTCGTCACAAATTAACAAGGAAAAAAAACCAGCAAATCAAAACATGGAATTTTCTTGTTGTGTTTAATGGGATTCAGGGTTGGGGGAAGGACCACAGCTCTGGGTGCTGTGGGACCATTTCTCTGTGTTCCCTGGGGACTTGGGGTGGCATAGAAGTGACAGAGGGGGGCTGTAGGGTAACAGAACGGGGCAGATTTGGGTCTTCCCATCCCTTGTTTGGGATTCAGATGTCCCTTTTTTGGGCTCCTTTAGGTCTCCCTACCCCTTTTTGGGGAAGGGCGGGGGGGGGCAGAAACCCCTCCTGTGCCTCTTTTTGGGTCTCCCCATCCCTCTCAACGTGTGGTGGAAGTGAAAAAGAGACAGAAATTCTGCCCAAAACCACAGGTTTTATGGAATAACCGAAGTGAAAGTGAAACCCAGCCGGGGCTGGGCTGCAGTCTGTGAGCATTTCTCCCAATTTCTTCGCATTTCTTCAACCTCCCACAGCTTACAGGGACCAGCAGCACTTCCAGAGCGTTTCCTGGGTGCTGGTGGTGCAAGATTACAGCTCGGAGCAGCTGGGAGGGGTGGGAATTTGCAATAGGTGCAGCCCCTGATGGGAAGCCCCAAAAGACTCTTGCTGGCAGCGGTGGGATTCGAACCCACGCCCCCGAAGAGACTGGAGCCTTAATCCAGCGCCTTAGACCGCTCGGCCACGCTACCCAGCTGGAAACCCCCAAAATCTCGATGGAAAAAGGGGAGAAAAAAAGAAAGGAAAAAATAAAATAAAATAAAATAAAAAAGGGGATTTCCGCTAAATTCACACCGGGGAGGCTTTGGTGTTTTCTGCCCAAAGCGCTGCGCTTTGTTTTGCCCACCCGCAGCACAGCGAAACCTTTTGGTGGCTCGAAGAGTTCGTGCTTCTGTTCTTTGCTCCGCCCCACTGAAGGGGACACGCACCAACCCCAACCCCAACCCCCCCATTGGGGGCGGGGGGTCCATCCCAGCCCCGATGGGAGGTGGGGAGGGGGCTGGGGGGCAAAGCACGACGGGACCGCCAGCCCCACCGGAGAGCAGTGCGGTGTAAATGTGGGTGTGGGTTCGGTGGGCGGCGATGTCGAAGGGTATTTCCAACCCCTCTCCTTGGCCTCGCCCCCATTGGGGGCGGGACGGTGGGCGGTGTAAGGAGCTGGAGCCATTTTAGGATCCAGGCTCGTTCAGCTCCTCCCGTTGGGGTCATGAGCTGCTCTTGGGTTGGTGGTGCAGAATGAGGAACGCACACGGCTGAGGCACCAGGAGGAACCTTCAGGGCTGTTGTTTCTTTGGGCATCCCATGTGAGTGATGGGGGTCGTTGTGGAGGAGACCCCCTGCTGTGGGGCTCACGGGGTCAGCTCTGAAGTGCAGGGCTGTTCTCATAGCACTGGGATGGGACACAGAGGGCTGCCGTTGGTGCCCTTCCCTTGAGAAAGGTTGGTATGGATTTTTAAAGTTGTTATTATCATTACTCTAATTGTTTTTTCTTTTTTTTTTTTTCCTGTTTTTGTGTTTGTTTGTTTTGTTTTGTTTTTTTTTGTCTATTTATGTGTTTTCTTCTATTTTAGCTTCCTGCAGGGAGCCTTGTTCTTCTGGGAAAGCCACGCATGGTGAGAAGGGTTGGCTTGTTATCCAATAGAGCCCACGTTGCTTTGGTTCCAGGATGAAGACTCAGCCTGTTCTGTGGATCCAAACAGATAACTGATAGCAATCAATGATTGAGTACCACCTGCAGGTATCCTTTATTACAAAAGGGAATGGCATTAACACCCAAAGCAGTTCTCTATCTCTGCTTCTGCATGCAAGTTTATATCTTCAAAGGCGTTACACATTCATTAGAATTCCACAAACCCTGATACATGGTCATACAGTTTCCCTGGATGTCCATATCTTTTCATGATCTCCGTCTCCACCCATTTTCTTCCCATATATGGTTTGTTTCTTCCAACTGTACTGCATTTTGAGGTCGCGCATCCTCTGTTCAGCGGTCCCTCGGGCAGCTTTGGCTCACAGGAATGCAATGTTCTCACTCAATACAAACACTGGCTTGTCTCATTCCTGTTTTGGATCTCTATGCTTGCTTTTAGTTATCACAGTTTCAGTATCCTGTGCAATCAGGAGACTACGAAGTTTAACACCTGTGATTATTGTGAGGTGCATTAATATCTCAGTCTGATTCTTCAGATTGTTTTTTTGGGTCAGATGTCCCACGCAGTCCCGTGTATGCTCACAGGTGCAGAACCTGCACCTCTTTGGTTTGGGTACTGAGGATACCTTGGATCCCATCTCTCTGCAGAAGAAAAGCAGAAACAGTGCATGATGAGAGGAATGGCTCATCCTACGTCTTCCACTGGAAGATCCCAACATTTTCAATATGCTTTGTGGCGTTTCTCTGGGTTAGTATGAGGAAAGCAGTGTGTGGTGTGAAGAGATTTTTCATGCCATGCATGCTGCTTTGGGATAACTTCAGATTTCCTCAGATTTAACAACTGCAGCTTACTACACTGGGAATTGTCTTTCTCTAAAAAAAAAATAAAAATAAAAAAATAAAAGATGGGACAGCATCTCATCCCATGGGAAGTGCCAGCTTCCTTTGGTTCAGGAAAGAAGACTCACCCACTGCTTCAGTTTGTTGCTCTGGAAAAGAGGGAAGAAAGCAATCCATGATGAAAGGAACATCTCATCCCACAGCTCACGCAGGCAGAGCCCATTTTTAATTTAATTTGGGAAGGAATACTCACCCAATTTTCCAAGTTTCTCTGCAAAGGAAACAAATACAAAATGCATATTGAGAAGGATCAGATTATCATCCCATTGCTGATCCTGTGGGGAAACCCCAAATCTCTTTGGTTTGGGGAGGGGGACTCACCCAGCTTTGCATCAATTCTCTCTGTAAAGGAAAAGCAGAAACTGCATGATGAGAGGAACATCTCATCCCACAGATCCCAAAGGAAGACCCCCTTTTTTATTTAATTTCAGAGGGAGGACTTACCCAGTTGTAAAGCTAGCATCTCTACAATGAAACAAAATTGAAATGCATGATGAGAAGGGTCAGATTGTCATCCCATGGCTGAACCTATGGGAAGACCCCATATCTTTTTGGTTTGAGGAGGGAGACTCACCAAACTTTGCATCGCTTCTCTCTGCAAAGGAAAAGCAGAAATAATGTGGTATGGAAGGAACATCTCATTGCACAGCTCCCAAAACATTTAAAAAAAAAAAAAAAAGTAATGGGAAGGGAAACTAGTTTTGCTGGAAAAGAAAGAGAAGAGCAGTGCATGGTCAGAGGGAAGAGCTGCTCATCCCACAGCTGATGCCATGGGGAGACCCTGAATTCCCTCACTTTGGGGAAGGACGCTTACCCAATGCTGCATCTTTTCTCACTGCAAAATAGAAGCAAAGGAAATACGTGATCAGAGGGAACACCTTCTCATCCCATGGCAGTTCCTATGCCCAGACCCCAAACCTTTTTGTTCTGGTAAGTGATCAGTGACCTTTTTGGTCCCAAGAAGGAATTAAACAAATAGAAAGACAGCGATTTGGCAAGAGTTTTGCAAGCAGAGCAGTCAGGATCGATGCATTCCACGACCCAACTGCATCCCATGAACCCAGCACATGGCAAGGCCACAACACATCCCAAGGCCCCAGAGATCACATGGTCCCAACCCATCACGTAAACCCAGCACTCTGCAGTCTTCTATCAGTTCCATTAAAGGGACTTTGGTGGTGGAAGGGGCTGCAAGGACTCACTCAGCTCTCTGCTCTGTGCCGCTGCAAAACAAAGTCGAGGAAGAGGTGGTGAGCAGGGCAGCTTGGTTTGTGGGGACGTCTGCAGAGGGTCTGGAACTTTCCACCTGCCCCACGGTCCAGCCACGTTCCCATCTTCCCACCCTTCCTTTTTCCCCCTCCTTCATTTCCAAGAAGAAAGGCAAACGTTATTTAATGATCCCCTGGGAATCCCAGTAAAAATCTCCCATCCTCTTCCTGTGTGCCTCCATGGAGCAGAGCTCAGCACCTCCCCAACCATCCCTGTCCCTGCACAACAGCTCCCTGTGCTCCATCCCCTCCGCTCTCAGCTCACCTTGCTTTCTATAGAGAAAAACAATGATGACAGCAAATGACCCAACCAGAAGTGTGATGACCACAGCCAGAGCCACCTTCCAGGGATGGACGATGTGGGTAAAGGGATCTGGAAAAAGTATCAGGAAAAAGGTTCCTTTTCCATTCCCATATGTGGGAAAAGTGGAACTCAGACTTCTTGAGATAGCAAAACCAGAAGGGGCAGCAAGCAGGGAGCAGTGATACACAAAGGCAGCATGCCCAGCTTGGCACAGGTGGAGGAGCTGCTCAGCCTCCTGTGCTCACTGCCACTGAGACATGAAGAAACCCATCCCAGAAACCCAACCCAACCACCTCATTCATGCAGATCCATCCCCAAATCACACCGTGCACGCACTGCAACTCCAGCATCTCTTGGAACAATTTAGCCCCGACTTCTTTTGAAGGCTGCCGTCCTTCAGCTTTCCATCCATGGACGTGAGGATGAGGATGGACAGAGGTCAGGTGTGACACAAATCCAGTGACACCTGGAGGCATCACCCCAGCTACTGACCTGACACCTCCAGATCCACCACAGCGTCTGCATAGCCATCACCATCTTGCACAGTGCAGCTGTACGAGCCACTATCAGAGGATCTCACAGCAGTGATGCGCAGATCCAGGTTTCCATCAGAGAGACCATCTCTGAGCAGTTCTGTCCTCCCTTTATATTCCTCCATCTGCTCCAGGTCGATTCCATTTTGGTAGTGGTGCACAAAACCAGAGGACCGGTGCTGGATCCATCTGATGTCCGAGCTCCCAGCATCCTTGCAAGGGGACAGCTGGCAGCGCAGCACGACATCCTGTCCCACGATGGCAGTGACATGGAGGCTCGGTGCCACCACCCTGAGCTGGGCTGGGCAACGAGAAGGGCACGGAGAGATGGTGAGATGGTGGCTGTGTGAATGTGGGGGCATGGAGCAGCAGTGTGAGTTGGTGCGTGCTCCATCCTGTGTAAAAGCAGTGGAGAGGGAGCAGGAGGGAGTGGGGAAGGATTCCTGGGGGTGGAAGCCCACTCACAGCGTGTAGTGGAGGTGAAGAAGAGATGGAAATTCTACCCAAAATCACACATTCCATGATACACCCAAAGTGAAAGTGAAACCCAACTGGGGCCAGGTGCTGGGCTTGGATCCTCACTGCTCCATGGCCACTCTCCTGCCCCACAGTAACACCTCTGCCAGGCACGGCAGCCCCACAGGACCCCTACCTGATCCCGGCTGGAGTAGGTACAGAACCACAAGATAAGGCAGGAGGGTCCTCCAAGGGAGGGCAAAACTGGAGTGGTTGCAGTCCAATATGGAGCGCATCTGTGCTGGAGAAGAGGAGGAGGGAAGGAGTTGGGGAAAGGAGAGAGAGGAAGAAGATGAAGGAGGAGGTGATGCAGGGGTTGGGGTAGAAGATGAGAGAAGAGGATAGGGGAAGGAGGTTGGGGATGGAGATGAGGGAAGGAGTTGGGGGAAGGAGAAGCAGAAGGGGACGGTGAAGAAGATGGGGAAGAAAATTTGGAAAGAAGGTGGGGAAAAAGTTCAGGAGGAATATGCAGGAAGAAGCTGTAGGAGAAGAGAGGGGCCAAGAGGGCTACAGCCACCAGGGGAGGAAGTGATAAGGTCACTCAAACATGAGTTTCATGAGCGCAGCCACCACCGCCTTGGGCAGTGCCAGTGCTCATCACAGGCTGTAGGGCAGAGCAGGTGACCCCACAAGGATTTCCCCTACAAGGAGCCCCACAGAGAGAGAAGTCCCTCACCTGAGCTGCAGGAAATATGTGGCTACGCCCAACTTCTACCTTTGCCCAGTTTCTACCTTTGTCCAGCTCCAGGGTGTGGAAATTCCATCAGAGGAACTTTACCCCTTTGGCAGTAGGAGAAACGTTTGGAGAATTCTGAACACCAACATCCCATTGCAGCTTTGTACACCACCCTGGGGCTCTGCATCCACCAGTAACATCGACACAGGAGAAACATTGCCATAGAACAGAGGAAAGCTGTGGGCTGCACTGCATGAGCATTTCTCCCAATTTCTCCATTATCCCACAGGTTACAGGGACCAGTAATTCTGCCTGAGCAATCCCTAAGGGCTGGCGGTGCAGGACTACAGCTTGGAGCAGCTGGGAGAAGCCAAGCCCCTTCCCACACTTGATGCACTCATAGGGTGTGATCCCAGCTTGCAACCTCCGATGTTGGAATGGACAGTTTTATCCTAAAATCTTGCACTTCAAGCAATGTAATTTTCCCCATGTGAATTCACAGTGAGGTCACCCTGGAACCTAGTCTTCTCCAGTCCAAGTTCTTGTGATCACACAGGGGATGATATAGTGATAGCATGCCACGTGGATGCTGCAGGGCAGATGGGGAAGGGGCGAGGGGAGATGCCCACCAGCAGAGTTCCCACGCAGGACGCAGCAGTTTTGCTGCCAGCATCAGGAAGCAGCTTCCCCCTCCTTTCCCTGCTAGGAAATCACTCCTTTTTAATGCTTTTTGATGCTTCTCAACCACGTTTTGCTCAGCTCTTCCAGCTCAGAGCACACTTTTCATCCCCTCACGGATAACTTCTCCCTCCCTATGAACCAGTGGGACCTTCCTGCCTGCAAAGCAGCTGCTCAGCTTTCTATTGCAGCCCGTATTCATGCAGATCCCATGCAGAACCACACACATCTCCATCCTTTCCTCCATCAGCAAGGAATGGGATTGCCAAAGGAACGGGCGCAACCAGAAATGTGCAAAGGTAGAGGTGCCAAAAGTATGGGGAGCAATGAATCTGTCCCCAGAAAGATGTTCCCATGGGGAAATTGAGGAGCAGGATTGGAGATGAAGGTGTCCAACAAAGCAGATGATTCAGCAATTAAACTATCCCAGAAAGTGGGGGAAAAAAGCGATTCTGGTAATGAAGATACATAAAGGA